TGCCCTCTGTCTGCCCCACCCCCTTTAATATCTCTAACGCTTACCCCCTCCCTGCCCCCTCCTCTCCACGTAGCCGATGCAGCACCCCCTCCTGCCCCCTCCTCACATTGGGGATTCCACATAGCCGGCGCAGCACGCCGCGGTGTCCCCATGTGTTCTGCGCTACCACCCACGCGTCACCATGCCTTCTGTCCGCCCCACACCTCTTTTGTCTCCCTTCCTGGGGTCGGCGGCACTGGGCGGCAGCCCTTAAATATGTATATATACAAATGGTTTTTGTAAGCAAAGAAAGATAAGGTTGAAGACAAATTGTGTTTAAGCAACGCTTACAACAGCCATACTGATACTGGCTTATACAAAACAAATAAGACTAAGAGACTCTGCGCAAGTGGCACTACTGGAAAAATAGAAGCATAATTACACAGGACATACTGGATGGTCAATCTGCCAACACCAAATGTCAGAAACACTGAGAAATACAATTATGCAATGAAGGAGTTGGAAACCTCACCTTCACCTGAGATTAGAAGATTAGTCGGACACAGTGTGGTGCCGTCGACTTACCAAATAAAGTTGCCACAACAATTGATGCAACACCAACCATAAAACCAAAACGAAGGGAAAACAACATTCAAGGAGACTAGATGTTGGAAACTTGTTAGATGGATATGCCATTGCAAGTCAAGAACTCCAAGGTGTCCATACACTTTCCTGTAAAACTGAAGGACAGGATCTTGTTAATATTCATCCCACAGCTAGAAGAGGGTTTTTTGCTGAAGATATTAGCGAGTACAACAGACCCGGTGAGCTGTACAATTGTTAAAACAAAGGATGTAAAGAGATGTGGATAGTCTGGAATGTGGTGCCAACCCCCGATGGGATGCAGACTATCTGACTATCACATTGGGTTGGATAATTTTTTGAAACCCATTGGAGGAGGTGATGCTGTTGTAATCACGCCAGAGAGCGACCACAACGAATGGGCCTAATGGGGAAGAATAGTCAATCAAGAGACATACAAGATATTGATGAACGCACGAGCGAATGAGCAGGCACGTTTGAGATTGAAATGCTGCTGCAAATGATAGGTCAGGTCAGAAGGTATTATATGTGATGTTTGTACAAACCACTTCTTTTCACACGGATCCATCCCTCAAGAACAACCACCAAATGCTTTCCTTACACTGTGGGATGAACAATGATCCCTAAGCAACCCCAAAAAACAACAGAACCGGAGGCCCTGGAAGTGCACTTTCTCGAGCATATTTGAAAAATAATTCACCTCAACACCTGCAAGTGCTCTGCCAAAGGCCTGAGCCAAGAGTTGGCTTACACAAATCATGCTTTAAAAAGAAAGGAATCCTGAGAGAGGTCTTGGGCTGACAGGGGTGACCCTAAAACAAAAAGAACAAAAGAATCAAAAGAACAAACAGTAATATGAGATGTGTGTTGCTTTTTGAATCGTTGAGGCCACCTCTTCCCAGCCCAAGGTCTCTGAGAAATAGCAGTTCTTTGCAGGTGTTTTCATGTACTTTTTGTATAGAGGGGGTCCCAGGGTACAATATATTGCTACCTAGCAATCTTCATTTGCTATACTTTGGTTCTATCCTATTACCTGTAACAGTGGATGATGATGGTTAGTAAGGGCCCTGCCCTTAATAGTGATATATAATTGTTTACTGTTACAGGTAATAGGACAGACCCGCTATATCCCGTTTAATAAGCATTCCCGTCTGGATTTAGATTGTGCTTCCTCAGGTATTATTCTGGGTTTCGAGCTCATTTAGTCGCTCCTGCTGTCGATGGCACCAAACACTCCTGGAAATGCATTTCAAACACCACCTATTGCCACCAAACGATCTTGAAATAGTTGCTCCTGTGTTTAAGATTAATTACTGCTGCCTTTCCTTGATTAGTATATTCCACTGCAAATCTAGTCTATTGGTTTGCATCTCTTTCTATTATTTGGCACCTTCCTTTGTCAAGTGTATTTCCTCTATATATACATATTCCTTTCTTGTTCTTCTCTGCTTCTTCACCTCTTTCTTCACATCTTTCATTGTTGCTCACAAGCTGTTCCTATTCCCAACAGGCATTTCTTTAGAGAAACAAATGTGTTTTTCTTGCTTAGCTCTTTGTATATTAGATTCTGAGAAGCGCGGAAAAAGGAATTACAAAGATTAAAAGGAGCTACTGTAGACCAAAGACAAACGGGCTGATTGGCCAGTGCCATTGCAAGATTTGCCATTCAAGTACTGCTGTTTAATTTGTGTTGCCCCATTTGCTTAAACAGTGGATCTTCCAGAGACCAAAAGGGTTGATTGACCACTATCATTGAACGTGTGGCTTCTTAATGTTAGTTGCCTTTTGCTTAATCCAGAGACCAACGATTGCTCCGCCGCTATCATTGCAATATAGGCGCCATTGACGTATTGCTCTTTGATGTTACCCTTTTGCTTACAGTAATCAGTGGCTCGAACTTCCAAAGTTGTGACCTGTAAAGGGGAGCAACCTTTTACGAATATTAAGCTAAGGATCTGTCTTAATGGAGAACACGGTGCTCATAATATATGCGCACTCATAGGGTCAAGTCTTACATATATATATATATCAAGGATGAGCGGCGCAGGTTCAAAATAAAGGATGGTGCGTTTCTACAGATTTGAAGGCACTTTAAGAAGAAAAAGCTTTCGATTACTAAATCCAGTTTTTGGAAAACCACTGATCCCTTATGAAGGAAGGAAAGGAAAAACATGTTCTTCAAACGACCAATTTTTAAGGATGCTTCATTTTGGGCTGGATTTGCCTAAGGAGCGTTACACTTTAAGCATGTCAAATGATCAAATGCAACATCAACAGTGCTACAAAAGTGCACTTCCACAGCCTGCCCCAAAATAAAAGTTGCCCAAACTAGTCCCAAAAATATGTGGGCCCACAAGCAAGCAAAAGAACAAAACAAAGCCATGTTTTCCAAACTAGTCCCAACCTTTGTAGGAGGACAGCATGTCCAAATGATTCATTTGTGATTATTGATTCCTTGCTTTTTGGTTTTAGGATTCTGGGCATAGTCACTTTGTCACTATTGTCCATTTTTTGTTTTTTTGGGGGATTCTAGGCATAGTTCCCAAATCATTGCTTTTTTCGCTTTCTGAATTCTGGCACTCTAGGTATTTTTGACTTGGTGACTCTAGGATGTTCTTGGCAGAGTCTAGAGTCTAGAGATCATGGCTATGCAGAGCGCAGACATTCGGTGCAATGTACGCTTGCCGACTCCCACGTTTGAATCATGCTTGACAGTTTGATAATCAAACCAAGTCACGCACCCACATCCTTCTGCAGCACAGCATCTGACAGCGCCTCACGCGCTGATTCTTTCCGCTCCTCCTCTTTGAGAACAGCTTGCGCCGATGCAAGCCTTACAAAGATTCTGATTGTTCTACCCACGTGCAGATTGTGTGTGAGACTCAGTTGTTCGAAGCTTTGTGCCTAGAACGTCGTTTCACTAGCTTGACTGAGTCCTGTAGAGGCTTGAGTGGATCAAGTTGAAGTTGCATGAAGTTGCCTCATTTTGCATCAAAGCTTCTCAGACAAGCTGAAGCCCAAGCTAATTGCGCTCGAGAGATGATCGCGCAAGGCAGTGATATCCCTGCGAGAAGCAGCTGACAATAAACAACTCTCCCCCTATGATCAGCAGCTTTGTTGTGCTAGCAGCTTACTACAAGTAAGCTAAAACAGCAAAAAGAAATTAGAAAGCACTGAAGAAAACTCAGACTGAGGTGAACAGCAAGGATGCTCAAACAGCTCGACCAACTCTGTTCTCCCCTGTCCTGGCCTTTCTTCTTGAGCCATCATCAAGCTCTGCCACAAATAGGTCTTCTGCAGTTCCTGCTCTAACAAGCTCTTCGCCGTATCGACTTCCTGAGATCAGATTCATTTGATCTGAAGCCTGAAGAGATGATAACATGTCTTGTCATGTCGTGTCAATGTGTCTGCAAGGCTCAACGGCTTCCACACCCGCATTCTCCGCTTCCGAGAGAGCAGCTTCCAAAGCGGCTATGTCTTTGCTAGCAATTGCCTCTATGCAAGGACGCTTGTCACAAGGAGTGTTGCTAGTTCCTTCTTTGATAAAAGCTCTGAAATGAAACGAAGCTGCCTGACTGAGATGTTCAAGCGCAGAGATCTTCCACTGCTCCTCTGCAAGCACTTGCCTGCACATATGCCCACTCATGCAGAAAGAAGGAAAGTGGGCAATTTCCCAATTGTGTCCGATTGCATTGTACTGTGAGTCTAAGCACTGTGTAAGGCTTCAAGTGTTTGTGAAGAAAAGTCTGGTATGGTATGGGGACCTTCCTGGACAGGGTTCACTGTTCACCAAGGCCTTGCCAACTGCGTCTCCGTTGGCAAAAGGCCACAGCGATCTGCCTGCACAAAGAAGAGCGTCTGGTCTGATGATCATGTGCGACTTGCAGACATGACGTTACGACCTCAAGAAAATGGAAGATTGAAAGGAGCTTGTTAAAACAGCAAAAGAACAGCTCGGTTGGATGCGTTTCAAAAAGAAGAACAACATGATTTCCGTGGCCTCCTCCAGCGCATCTTCGAGCATCTCTACATCACGGTTCTGAGTTGCAGCAGCGAGGTTGCTTCGGGCCTCTTCTTTGCGCTCCTCTACACCCAGCATCTGCCTGTAGGCTCAAACCATGTGACTATGAGCCCCAACAACTACTTGAAACACATCTCATTGGACATTGCATACGGGGTGCTGCCATGGCCTACATGAACACCCTGTCCCCTGTGGCACGGATAGCGAAATAGAATGCTGTTCAAAGTGTATTTGAAGGTGCCTGTCCATACACATCAACTGTTTTGCTTTTTGGTTGATATGCATGTTCAATGAGTTCAATGTGTCCAAAATCGGATCGGCCTTGCTTCCATCATTTCCTCTTCATCGACACCTGCATCTTCGGCCTCCAAAATGGCAGACTTGAGGTCTAGGATGCCTCAGTCCACAGGTGCAAAAAAGTGAAACTCCAATGAACAAGTCAGTTCGTCAATGGGATTGGAGAGATAACATTGACATGGTTTCTCGCAGTCCATGAACATATTGCCGTTGGCATGTCTAGAGTGGAGTTCTGCGTTGGGGTTCGGTGCACGCAATATCATTCTAGTCTTTGCAGCCCATTCGCTCCGGCTCCATGTGGCGCGCTGAAGGCCCTCTCGCGCATTCGCCTGACAAAGCCATCATGAAGTTGGAAGCTTGTAGTGAACAATCTTATATTATATAACAATATATATATATATTATCATATTTGTCCTAAGCATCCTAAGCCTCCAGAATACTTGCAAAAGTATTGTAGCATTCGTGGCCAAGCCTTGCGGTTCTCCTCCATCAGAACATCGCTCGCTTCGCGAATGTCATCTTCATCAATTTTGCATGCTTGGCCTTCTTCAATTGCCTGGGGGAAACAGACTGAACACGCAATGTCTGAAACAAAATCAAAACATCCCCAGCCATTGATTGACACAAGGCCATTCCAAGCGGGGCTACTGCAGAATACCATCAAGCACAACAAACCGCACCGAAAAGCAGACCGCCAAAGACAAATGGTGGACAGATGTTTCCGATGTTTCCCAAAGACTTCTTGGCAGGCGCGTAGTGCATGCACAGTGCACGTCGATATATGTGGGTGGTCGGCAGATGGCTGCGATGTGGGCGAAACGAGGGACCTGACAGAATTGGGGTCAGTGTCTTTCTCTTACTGTAATTCTGGTTGAATAATTTCTGCGCATAGAATTGCAGTAGCGTCCCTATGTTTTGCAAATTACATGCTTGGCTTGTGCAGGCAACTCAAATGAAGGTGCCTGTAGCTAAAATTTTCACAACCCTACTGTGTATATACTGAATCTGTATATCATATATTGTATAACCACAATGTATCCTATCTGCATGTAGTGTATAAAATCGTTTGGGCTCACCTTCTGCTACATCAAGTCAATCAAGTTTACCATAAATATATAAGTCGAATTTAGGAAGAGGCCATTGAAGCTGCATGAGCATCAGTTCTTTGGGATCTCTAGCATGTTGGTTCGTGGGATATGGGACCTAGCACATGTTCACCTGATGTTGAAGCTTGCACCTGTTTAAACTGTTGCGTACTTGGACATACAACGAAGGTGAAAAGGATTGAAAAGGTGCTGTACAATGTGTTTCCACTTGTTACTACAGTAGTAGCTTCTTGTTGGCCTCCAACCTCATAGCGATGGCCTCCAACCTAATAGCGATGGCCTCCAACCTAATAGCTTCTTGTGTCTGGGAAAGCCGTACAATTTGTTTCCGCCTTCTGCAATCGCTCGATGTCGCGACTTTGCACTGCATCGAAGAGTCCTCACCAGTTAGAGCATAAACAACGAAATCTCTTCACGGTTTCTTTTGATGCTCAAAGAACATAATTACATCACCTGCCTTGTCGAGCTTTGACTCGCCTCTTCTCTTCTGCATGCAATCGCCGCGCTTCCGAAAGGTGCTCATCTGCTGAAGGAAGTCCTGCAATGAGCACATTGAAGGAAATAGAGAAGACCTGCATCCTCGCTTGTGATCTAAAACTAAGTGGTGTGCATGCATAGCCCCGCTCGTCCAACATGGAGCAGCTATATAATGATATGATATTATGATGTTGCAACAAGAAAGACGGAATTACGCTTGACGGATCAATAGTTAGTCGTGAATAGAGTAAGGTGTACTTCAAATCAAGTAAAATAGAAAGACTGACCTCACGCACCACATGAGCCTCTCACGCATGTTTAAGACCTCCGCACGGTTGCTTTAATTTTGGCACTCCTGTCCCTGCTGTTCGATACGAAGATTGGCTGCTCAATGAGAACCCAGTTCTTCTACAAGGAATAGCCGTAGCAATAATTATATATTGTTATATTTGATGAAACAGCAACATTCCTTTGGACCATGTTCTTTCAACACCGAACCCTTTGGCCTGCATGTTCAGCATTGCTAATTGCCGAAGAGAGGTCTTCGATGTCTCCTTGTTTGGGAGCAAAGAAAAAGCGGATCAAACGATGCACAGGCAATGAGTCCACATTGGATGCACACTGCCGAGACGCCACTGGCCAAAGCATCTCGAAGATCCGTCTTTGCAGCCAGCTGCCGTTCACTTGTCTCCAACTTTGTTTTTGCCTTGTTTCACCCCATCACTTCGTTCGGCAACTGTCCAAAACCAAGCAATTATTGCAATGCAGCGGCAGGATCCAGGAGAACAGCATCCAAGAGTTGGAGTTCCTTGATTTGGGCAATACGTGGCATTCAAGGCCTTTCAGTTGCAGCAAAATGTGCATGATGAATTGACACTATGTTGCTTGCTTGTACTTTCCTTCACACCATCTTGCTCCAAGGTTCGGCCTCTTGAATGGCTGCCCGAAGATTTGGTATTGTGTCCTTGAATGCCGCTACTATCTAAATCCATCTGCTTCATGATTGTTCCGTTCCCACATATAGCTTTGAAGGGAACTAAGAAAATCAAGCCCGCCATGGTTTTAGCCCAACGGAAGTGCTTGTCGAGTCACATAACTAAGGTCTCGCACAGCCTGCGCCAAAAGCTCCTTTGCTGCTGCCTTGGCCTGCTCAGCTGCTAGGGTAGCGCTAGCCATCATCATCTCCTCACATAAGTCAGCAACCGACTCAGCAGCGAGCAATTGACTTTGTTTGCGGAAAATTGAGCAAAGTCCTCATCTTCTGGCACCAAGCCAGCTTTCTCCCCGTCTGCCAACGCTTTCCTCACATGAGTTTTTTATTGTCAACTGCAAGTACTTGTGAAAGTATCTTTTGACTCTGTTGGAGAGTCAAACCCCAATAGAAACACAACGGAGTGGAAGACCCAGAACACAATGCAAGTCTCTACGATTCGACCCGTTCCTTACAAACACAAGCAAAAACACAACGGGTTGGAAAACCCAGGTTGTCAGAAAGGACACAACGCAAAGCTCTACAATTCGACCCGTTTCTTACAGCGACTGCCCAAGCATCAGCAGTGCATTTATGTCTCTGCGCTTGATGGCCTTCTCGAGGCTGGACTTGGCTGAGACTTTCTTCTGTTCCTGCAACAAAACATGGCGATGGTGGAACATGTTTCTTCACCTCCACAATAGTGCATGTTTTTGTGTGAAAATGAAAATGTGTTGTGTTGTGCCGTTGTGTTGTCTTGTGCTGAACGTAGGTATGTATGTATGTATGTATGTGTATGTATGTGTATGTATGTATGTATGTATGTATGTATGTGTGTGTGTGTGTCACACCCTGTTTCTAAGGGTTTCGGAACGAATTTTCCCGGCGATTCATACAAGCAGGGGGGCAAGGCCTCCAGCGATGAACCTTGTCCAACGAAGCTAAGTCGCTGGAGGGGAAGCACTGAGAGACGTCTCGGTGTGTACCTGCTGAGTTGTCCACAAGCTGTGACCCTACTTTTCCACTGTTTGATTCATGGTGGTTTCGCATGATACCTTCCCCACAAACAGGTTTTCCACCGCAGCTTTCAGCCGCTTGTGAATTGCAGCCAGCAGAGCGAGTGAAACAATGTTTAACATTTCAAATCACCGGACCCATTCGCCTTTCCGTTCACTCACCTTCCTTCCCATCGTGGCAATTGAGTTAACTGAAAACCAATGTCAGAGTGTGAACCGCTCAGTCGTCCCACTTGGGCGCTGGGTGTGACTCTCCGAAAGGAGGCGCTGTTATCATTCCGGAAAGCATCGGTTTTTCTTTCTTATAACTGATTCTTTGTTTCTCACTTCCATAACTGAATTAACGGAGTTTCGAGCCGCCGGGCTATAAACGATGGAATTCCTTTTTTGACAGACTGAATCCACTTGCACCGTCATGTGTCGTTACTGCATGTTCCCAATTTTTAATCCGCAGCCATTTGTTCAGCTTCCACACGTATTTCGAGACTTTGCATTGCATCTCACGCCACACGTTCACCTCACCTCTCCATCACTGACAGTTCACTAGATCTCAAGCATCAGTCTCAGCATTCCACTTTTCAACCTTTTAATTCTTAGCTGCTGCGCCGCGCCGGCGCCATCTAGTGCAGCCTCCAACCTTGTCGGATTGACCTCTCGACCGTCACTCACATGCAGTATCCTTGGCCGTACCCGCAGTGGCCATCTCACTGTCCTGTGCCCACGGCGCCGACAGCTGGTCTTCATTCACCACCGTGGCAGCACCACCCATCAACAGCACCTCTACAGCCAGCTCCGTTCCACCAGCTTCCACCTACTTTCTTGTCACACTGTCCGGCCACTTCACCACACCTGCCGGCCCCTACGTGGCCACACCCTCTACAGCCACACATCCAACCTACACCGGCTTTCATGCCACCTCATCACGCCTACCCTGTGTCACATCAGGTGCCAGCAATGGAACCAATATCCAACACTTCCCGTCCACCATCATCGCAACCTCCACCACCATCGCCACCAGCAGCACTGTTTCCACATGCTCAGCAGGCACCACAGCCAACAGCACAATCACTACCCGTCCACTGGGACCACTCTCAAGGCATTTGGCAGCCTTACTCACTCTTTCCACCAGTCGTCCATCCACCACCGCATCACCAACCAACCCCCGCCACTTCTGCTCCACCTGATCCAGCACCTGCCAACCCGGTGGCTCCATCGCCCGCACCTGTTGACCCGCCACCTCAGGGCTTCCCTCGCCAGCCTCCACTGCCCTTACAGCACCAACGGAACTTCCCACACCGCCACCTCCACCACCTCCTCCACCAGCCACCAGCAAAGTCTCCAGCACCACCTCCGGCCTCTCGCAAACAACCACATGAGGCCCAGCAGACCTCAGCTCCACCTGCACACCCTGGCGCCACCTCTTCACCGCCTGCTTCTATTGCACCCAGCCACCCCACCCAACACAGCAGACGTCACCGCCGTCATCGCCACCGCCGGCACCGGCGCCACACTCGTGACAGACACACCCGCCACCACCACACAACTCCTGCGTCAGCCAACCAAGGTTCGTCGGCACAGGCGCCGCGCCGTTCTCCCTCCTCCGCATACTCCACAATTTCCCACAGCCGTTCACGCCGCTCCCATGCGCCTATTACCTTGCGGCCCAACCAGGAGACAGCACGGCATGATCCGCTCCACAGCCAAATTACAAACATGTCCCAAGCTGAGTTCCCCAACATTCCAGCACTTCGCCGCCCATCTCCACCGCGGCGGCCACCTTCACCTCACTTCCTCCAACTCTCACAGCAACAGCAGATCGAACATTGGCTCGATTTCCACGCCGAACAACTGGCAGCGGAAAATAAACCTCAACATGCCTACGTTGCCCAACTCCTTGTTGACAGCGGATTTACCTACAACGATTTGTCAGACTTCCGCCAACTCACACATATCAAATGGAACGACACCACCAATGCATACGACATTTTACCATACCACTGCATCAACATCCCTAGTCTGGTCGAGAAAGCCACTCGTCAGATTCCACCGCCTGCCACCCGCGCCACCTCCACCACCCCCGAAATGGTCCACATCAACGCCGGCCATACCGGCCCCCTTGGCAACATCATCACCATTCTCCGGCAGGGCCGTCTCCTGCCCAGTACACTCCACTTTGCCGACAACCCGGGTTTCTTTGCCCAAGGCACACGCATTACTCACCAGCCACTCCACGACAACTACGAACAAGCCCGTATACTACGCAACACATGGAAACTCCCAAAAAACACCCACTCCATTATGCTCCACCTCTTGGCCTGGGGCCAAGGCACGAAATTCACAAGTGGCGGCGAAGAGCACGCCGTGCACCTTTTACAGCAACAACATGGCGCAGTCTGTCACGCCAAAGCGCGCTGCTGGGTCATTCACCCCAATAACGCTATCATCAAAGGCCTGGCGTGGTCCATCAACTCAACACCACCAGACACGTGAGCCACTTCCACCACCCAACATCCACTGCGCCACCATCACCAACCCGCCTTCATTGAGAGCTTTTCCGACTAGTTTCACACCCTACCACAAACCTCTAGCTCCGCCAAAACAGAAGCATCGAGCATTTGTTTTCATAGGCTGTGTATGCACGCTTGGTTTCTCCACAGCTTTTCGCAACTTCCATTGTGAGTCCGATCATGTAGTCGACTTTTGAGATTTTGATTACCACACCCTCGACAGTTTGCTCTCTCCGACTTGCTTGAGGGATTGTGACTTTCCAGGTTTTATGCTTAGGTTTTACCACATGCGGAAGTTTTAGTGACTTTGAAGTTTTGAGGTTTTGTGATTGTGTGAACGATCTTACTTCCGACTGCTTTTCTTTTCTTTGACCTTGTTCGCGCTGCAAAATTCGCGCTCGATAATTCGTTCTGATAATTCAACTGCACGGCCCGTCCGCCTGCACCCTCCGCTCATGAAGTGATGCCGCCTGCGCTACGCTGCCAAGCTGCCGCCCCAGCAGATTGGTCACTGAGGCTTTCACTCAAGATGCATCACAGCACGGACCAAGCTCGATTGCTCCATCGCACTACCATTGCGCTTACACAGCTCCATCGCCTCCTTCAACAAGCAACCGACATTCTAGCCAACCTCCACAGCTTCTACCTGCTTCATACAGGACAAGTCGACCCACACTTTCAACGTTCCTTCCCACCTCTCCCTCCACCTCCCTCCACGGCAGTTCCGATTCTCTCACCTACCTCCTCCTCTTGCCATTGCTCCCGTTCAGCGTGCACCACCGCAGCCCACAGCATCTCAAGAATCCTCTGCATCCACTCCCCCACCACCGCCACCACCCAAGAAGAAGCGTGAACCTCCACCACCCTTGAACCAGGACGCAGACTGGGATGCCTGGGATGGCGAAGCAGACATTCGCCTAGTTGAACTCAAGACAGATGCCCGCCTTCGACCCAATTGGAACTACGTTGCTCGTCGCGTAGGTTTCTCTATAGAACAGTGCAAAGCATGCTGGGAGGAACTTCAGGAAGCTCAACGCACTCTTACAGCCACCATCCCACCTCCTTCGCCACGCTCCCCGACACCGACTTCGCCTGCCAACACACCACCACCGCTCTCACCCATCGACCCTGTCCTCTCTCCTCCTTCTCCTACAGCAACTCCATCTCAACCACTACACTCAGCACCAGATTTCTCCTACACTCCCACAACACCTCCATCTCTCCCACCAGCAGCCGCCGCTGGCACCGACGCTATGTGCCCAGCCACTAGTGAGGACAGTCATCCGGAACCCCCAGCGGATGCTATTGGCAGCTATTTTGTATAGTCGCATGTTTCACCCAGCTCCGTTCGGCGCGCTCTTGGCAAACAATTTCAGTTTCCTTGCACCACAGAATCACCTCTTGCATATCACTTGCAGTCGAAATCACCACATCATGGCAGTTGATCACCTCACCTCATAGCGGCAGTTGATCATGATCGACATCACTTCACGCTTCCGCAGCCATGTCTAGATTCCGATTTGCTTTGGTTGCACAGATCACCATCTTTGCCCTACTCCATCGTGGCTTCAGCAGACTCCCCGCCGACCAGCGCCTTGCCGCCGCCTTCTACGGAACAAGATCCAGCCAACATGACCTACTTCCTCCCAGGCAATCCCCCTCCACACTTGGCCCCTTCAATCACACATCAGCCAGAGACTCTTCTCATGCAAACGCTCCTCGACAGTCTAACAACCGTTGTCACTCAGATTCTCAACCATCCCATGATTGACGGTCCCGCACCAGACCACCACCTGTTCACAGATGTTGATGCCTACCGTCTTTATTTCCAGTACCACAGCAGTGTGGTTGAGTTAGCCAGAAACACCATGCGCTTGAAACGCGCCAGCCGTTTGCTTCAATTCATACCAGGCCCCCCGGGCCACCCTGGCAGATACCGCGTCAACATGTTGAAGTGTGGAGGATTATTTTTCTGCGCAGGCGCACCGCTTTGTGAGATCCTCAGTTTGGCAGCGACGTTGGGATTTGCACTTCACGCTGTTGCTTCGAAGCTGCGTCTTCGTGACAAATCTCAGCTTAAATTGCGACTTTGGTGGATGGGAGCGTGCTCAGAACGATTCCAAACGCGTGGTGTGGTGCAAAATTTTTGCTGAAGACGTGAACATGAATGAACAAGTCATATCGCCACTTTTCGCGGAAGGTGCGATACTTCGTGCGTGTTGGAGGTGTCGAAGTTGAATGTTCACGATGTTTGGTGGTGTTCAGTGTCACTGTGACATTGGGATTGGTGCGTCCGCGGTTGTGGTTTTGAGGGTCTTTGGCGGGGCTGCAGAATGCGTTGCCTCTGACGGGACGCCCCGCTTCACTGTTGAAGGCAGTCTCGAACGAAACGCTCGCTTTTTGGAGGAAGTCTCCTACAAAATGCTCCCCTTGCAGACTCGAAGTGTGACTTTGGGAGGAAGTCTCATCCAGGCGCGTGACCTCGTTTGACTTTTGCAAGAGTGTCCCACAAGAGCGCCTCGCAAGAGTGTGCTGCAAGATTGTCCCACAAGCACCAGAGCGTCGCACGTGAGTGTCCCACAAGAGTGCCCTGCAAGAGTGCCCCACAAGAGTGTCCGACAGAGTCCCACAAGAGTGCCCCACAAGAGTTTTGCACAAGAGTGGCCGACAAGAGCGTCCTACAATTGTGTCTCACGAGAGCGTCGTCCAAGAGTGTCCCGCAAGAGTGTACCTCAAGAGCCTCCCACAAAAGACTGGCGCACCAGAGTGTCGTACGTGACCTCAGAACTGACCACTTGGCACTTGGCAGTACACATGTAGGGAAGCTTTGGCCTCAGAACTGGCAACTTTGCAGTACAAATGCACAATGGGAAGCCTCAGCATTGTCACCGTCACCTCGCAGTACAAGTCTAGTATGGGAAGCAGCTCCTGGGAGCTCCTGGAATGGAAGCTTGCAGCACACATGTAGCACGAGAAGCAGCCTCTGAGAGCTGTGGCCTCGGAACTGGCAACTTTGTAGTGCAAGTGTAGTGGGGATGTGGCCAAATTACATCTGAGCACATGAGTGTCGTACGTGAGTGTCCCACGAAGTGTCCCACAAGAGTGCCCCTCTTGGGTTCGATCTTGTTAAATTTGGGAGACATATCACATGAAAGAGCTTCGTTTTGACATCCTGTGTTTGGAAGTGCATTTGCTGCGAAGCGCACTGGCAGGGCTGCGCGATGTGATTCTTGATGCGCCGATTTCGTGGCAAGCACAGCACTGCGACATAGAGGCCATCAGTGTCCAAAGGTCTGGCATATTGGCACAGTATTCTTGTTTCTTCTGTTGCAATAGGTGGATGTCCCCTTTCAGGAGCCCAAGGGCTTCTTGTTTAAAGCCAAGCACCATCCAAGCATCATTCCCGCCTCCCTTCTATTACAAACGTATACAAATGTCAGAACCTGACACAAGCGTACTACCACATTCAGTGAACCCGTCCTCCTCCAAAGCTGTCCGAGCAGGGCGCAATTGTGAGGGGTCCAGATTGGAGGATTGCCCATTGCGGATAGCTGCTTGCAAATCCTGAAGGCACCAACGCTTAACACGACTTCAGAATCTGTTTGAGCAGCGAAACGCTGGGCAAGACAAGCTACCTTGAGGGGGTATAAAATGGCTTTGAAGCAGGTAAATCTTCCATCCGAATGGTGGGGAAGCCTGTCTTGAGTGGAGGGCGGTGGGTGGCACATATAAATGCTTCTGCCAGAACAAAATCGATAGGACCAGGTGTTTAAAAAGGCTCAAGTCTCTTCCTCTGGCCAAGGACCTCTCTGCAACCTCATTGGTGTCTGTTCTCCATATGCGTGCTTGAATCTATGCGATGTGCCAAAATTGTCCACTCCTCAATGTCTCGGCTGCGGAGGGCGTCTTCCAAAGCCCGCAACGCTTCCAGCTTGATCTCCTCCTTGAAAACGTGATCAGTGAACAACTGACCACTAATGACTGAAATGTGAGCCCTTGAAAATGGATGCTTCTGGAAAGCACCACCAAGAACGACAAACACCAAGCAGGCCCGTATGTTTCAGAAACAGCAATGTCCGGCAAAAAACTGATACCGAATACCATCAAGTAAAAGCAAGGCTCATGAGTTCTGTTCATCAGTTGTGGTTTGGTTATTCTGCTAATAGACGCTATTTAATTGATTGAATTGGAGTGACACAACAGACACAACACAGGCTCTTCGTGTGACTTTGTCGCACTTGGCCTGCTTCAGAATCATCCTTGCCTTTGCGCGCGCAAAAACCAAGTTAGCACAAGCAAGCCAGGTTTCGAATCTACCATGCCCGAGAAAGCCCGAACTAGGTCCACGGCGGATAGACGGCCGTGGGGTAATGAAGGATGGTCGTGGGGTAATCAATTTTAAATATGCGTAATTCCATTCGGAATGATGTGAGCGACACTTCATCATTGGAATCATGGTGAATTCCATGCAGATTTCGATAAAATCAGAGTTTCGCTGAGGCGAAATGGCGACTTCGAAGCGTTTTCGCAACTACACAACTACTTTTGGCGTCGGACATGTGTGTGCGACTTTTTCACTCTTCACAGAAAGCTCGCGTGGCATCGACATGGAGCCCACCGGCCAAAGTCGCTTGTAAAAAACCAACAACGCTGCAACCAAGGGGGACAAACCTGTACCAGTCTAGCCACCAACCCCACAAAAATTCTGAGTGGTCCGGTCCGTCAAACCCTGAAAATCCAAACACCAACGGTCCTGGTCCAAAACTATTTCGAGGGTCAAGGATCCCCACCACGAACTTTACTCCAAACCAAAGTCAAGTCGTCCAGATAACCTGGGTGAACACGAAACCAAGGTCGAAGAACCAGGGGTGCCTCGTCCACATCCACAAAACCGACAAAAAGTTACGCAGTGTCTAACCGAATGTAACCCGCAAGAAAATTATCCCGGCAAGAGACCCCAAACAGTGCGTGTGTGCGTGTGAGGTCTGTAAGCAGAAAGTCTAGAGATCTAGACACACTGGGGTCCAGAGAGGTGATGGAGTGTGAGTGCGAGTGTGAGTGAGAGCGAGTGAGAGTCTGCGAGTGGGAGAGTGAGTGGGTGTGAGTGTGAGGAGTGTGAGTGCGAGTGTGAGTGTGAGCACTTCGAGGTTCGTGAAGCGCCGTGCCTGCCACGAAATCTGCACTTCGAGCTTCACCATGCGCTGCGCCTGCCACGAAATCTGCACTTCGAGGTTCACCATGCGCTGTGCCTGCCACGAAATCTGCACGTCGAGGTTCACCAAGTGCTGCGCCTGCCACGAAATCTGCACTTCGAGGTTCACCAAGTGCTTCACAAAGTGCTGCACCTGCCACGAAATCTGCACTTCCAGGTCGACCAAGTGCTGTGCATGCCACGAAGTCTGCACTTCGAGGTTCACCAAGTGCTGCGCCTGCCACGAAATCTGCACATCGAGGTTCACCAAGCGCTACACCTGCCACGAAATCTGCACTTCGAGGCCTGCCACGAAATCTGCAAACGAGCCACATGTCCAAAAGTCACGACTCACTACACCTGTCACGAAATCCGATCTCCTCGACGATCACCACCATGTCCAAAGTGCTGCACCTGCCACGAAAACTGCATTTCGAAGTGAAACAGCTCCGATCCCTTGCACCTGTCACGAAAAGTCGACTTTGGAGCACCAAAACACAAGGTTTCCCTTGCACCTGCCACGAAGATTGACCACCATTCGCCAGAAGCACCCGCCGCCCGCAGGCAGATTTTGCGAGCCTGCGCAGTCGAAGTGCACATGGACGATGTCGAGAGGCATGAATGCACTGTAAATAGCAACGAATTAGCCGTTCACGCCCGCGCACTTCAGCGATCTAAGCATCAGCTGCTTTTCACTTACCGTAAGAACCCCTCAGTGTGCCCACACTGTTTGGGGAATAACTGAAGTAGATAACATGCTACGCCACAGGTGTGCTAATTAGCCCCACCCCCACCCCACCCCAAAATTCCCACATGTAGTACTGTAGAAAACAAAATATCATATCAAAAAAAAATAAAAAAAGCCGACGGCCGTCTATCCGCCGTGGGCCAACTACTTGACGTAATCTTTAGACTTTGCCCGTCTTGCACTTCGCCCATGAAGGCTGAGGCCAGCACCCGTTGTAAGTCTGCCTCCTCCAAGCCCCAGGCAAAGCCTTGTTTCAAAGCTGCTCGTAGCTCTGTGACATCCCGGCTTTGCATTGCCTCTGGCTGACAAAACTTGTCCAAACCACGTGTTTGTTCACATGTTTTCACGTTTCCGTTGCAGACACTTAGTTGAGCATGTCTATGTTGTGAAGTGTGTCCCAGCCTGCTGCACTGCCGTCCTGGCTTGCATCTTGGACTGCTCTTCTGCCAGCGTTCGCTTCGCCTGGACACACCGCGCGACCCACCACCAAAAAATGTGTTCCTTGAAGAGGGAAGAATCGAATGAGAAATGGAAAGACTTGATGGATACGTGCAGCCATCTCAAGTGCAAGCAAAAGGCTGTAGAAGCAGGACCAAGGTCCACAAGAAAATCCAACCCTACACCTTTCACCAACTAAAGTGTTGCTGGTTTCTGTACTTGAATGGTCATCCTGTTTGTGGTGAGTGCCTCGTAGATCTCTGGACCCTCCAACTGGCAGGCTTCCGCCTCCTGAGGCAAAATGTGCCCCACTTCTGCAAACGGATGCAGGAGAAGCAACTGCAAAAGGATCGGCCTCCGCCCCTAGTAGCTTCTTGTTACTAGTAGTAATGCCAGGAGCGTCCTTGCTCCTAGTAGCGATGCCCTTTGTTCCTAGTAGCTTCAACGAGAACAAAGTCTAAAGACCCTGTCCTCCAGAGCAGCTTGGATTGCCGGAACCTTTGCAGCTTACACTCCACCAGAATATTTCTCTAGAGCAATTCCCTTGCCATTGTGATTTGTTGTAATTCTTCTGAAGTCTAAGAACATACCATCTGCGGGTGGTAAAGAGGCATCTGTACTTACACACTCGACCAAGCCAAGACAAATCAATGAAGTGTTGAAGTAGGAGCACACGGGTGACTTGTCGGCATTAAAAGCAAAGCTACAAATGAGTTCAAATGAGTTCAACCTGCTCCGAGCTAAGGTTTGCAAGCTCAAGTGTTCGACAAACAAGCTTTGCACAGTCTTTCGAGAAACAAACATGTCAACAAACAACTTTGTCGCAGTGCACCTTGCGAGACTTTGTTGCAGTCTGCAATGCTGTACCTTGTCACATACATGTTACATCTTTGTCAAAATATCCTTGAGCACATCTCTCTACTGCACTCCACCTTGTCGTCAAAATTAATGGAAACATGTGCTACTGCTACACTGCTCATTGACACAGCTTGAAAGTTGTCAACCATAGAAAGAGGGAAACAAGAGAAACAACACGTTGTCCTCCCAACACATCCCGACTAGTATCCACGCATTGACCCTGCTAACTCAAACAAACCAGGACAGCTGGTGAGAACGCGCGAATGCCCACCAAAGAAACACAAGAAATCAAAACAGTACTGTACTAGACACGTACACAATAGGATACTTTGAGACAACCCAACACTCCTGTTCACAATGCCCTGGGAGGCTGCCTGTGTTGGAACTGGCCACACGATGCAAACAATTTGGGAAGAAGGGTTGAAAAAACACATATACTGCAAATGGAGGAGTGCAGGCAAGGCAAACTCGGCTGAGATGATGCAAATTCTTGCAACTTAAAATTCTCTCAAAATCTAGGAACCAAATGAATAGTGCGAGCGCTACCCCGCCGCCTAGTGAGCTATCCTGTGTCCATGCTTGTAGTTATTTGTTAGCTACTAGGGACCCCCTCTTCTACTAGCCACCTCTAGCCACTACCTCTTCTCGGCCTACCCCCCCAAAAAAAAGTAAATAAATAACGTGACAATTGAGAGGAAGTCAGGGGAAGTGATGCATTGAAGGTCACAATTTTGGCTAAGTCCAACCAACAAATGACCTTTACACTAACTGTAAAACTGGTAAACAAAGCATAGTAAACATTTCCTTCGGTGTACATGGCAGAGAGCTTGGACGATTTGGTTAAAATCTTTACGCAGTCTAGACTTTTTGCTGAAGCAAGGTGAGCTCGATCAAATGAATAGCTTTCATGGTACGATTTGGTGAGTTCTTATTGGTCACATCGCCTAAGTGGCTGTCACTATCACGACAAAACTCATCACCCCGAGCTTAAAATTTCAAGTGACATGCTGCGATGAGAAAATAATGAAATGGAGTGTATTATATGATATTGGAAAGAGAGCCCCCCACCGTCTAAATGTTTGCTCCAAATGACATCAAATGACTATTCTACGAGGCTCGCCTTGGAAAGGTACGGCGCTACTCCTTACGTGCAAAGATATCAAAGGCTACAGTAGCTTCTGAGTGCCTCAAACAACTCTCAGACTCGCAACCTCACCTTGGCCACATGTCGCGATCCTGTCATGAGTCATGAGTCATCACTCTTTATACCCACTATTCTGTTCCCGACTCAAATTTCACCCTTCACAATAGCTTGCTGCATCTTTGGCCGATCCAGGTACGGGCATTGACTTTTCGTTCTTCTTCAGCAAGTGCTTTCCTCGGCATATGAAGCTAAGTAGGACTGCCGGCAGGGTCGCATGTGACGCTCAAGGAATACTCACCATCATCCAAGACACCTTATTTGTTCCAAGTCGGCATCTGTCAGGCCTGCTTCTTCACCTTCAGCAATGGCCGATTGCATGGCTGCGATGTCCTTAGCTGGTGCGTTGTCATCTTTGTCGGGTTTGTACCATCCAACTTTAATTATTGTAACTCCGTCTTTTTGTTACTACTAGTAAGGCACTTGTTACTAGAAGCGATGCACTTGTTCCTAGTAGCTTCTTGTTACTACTTTTTGTTGCATCCAACTTCGTCCAGGATACCTTGCGCAAAAGCGGATCCTTAAGGCCCTCGATTGCCGCAGCTTTCCGTTCCTCCTCCCGCAAAGCTTGCCTGGCAACACGACCCAAACCGAGCTGATTCACTCGCCCTGAACTGCCATAGTAACCCTTTGACCTGTGCAGGGCTTTAGGGACTGGATATTGAGGCCAGCCTTTTTGAGGCGTTGTTACTCTTGTTACTTTCTGATATGACACCTTCTTCTCCGCATCACAACTAAACTACTACAACATCAAACTTGAAACATTGCCAGTTGAAAACGACCACGTGTCAAACAACTCCAGCTTCCTGTTGAAAATTTGGAAACAGCCGAAATCAAGGGATTTGTACAACTGCGATCAATTGAGTATTGAAGTTCAATGGGAGTGGTGAGTGGCAAGGTACCTCGCCGGCTTCGTCTCATCTGCAGCAAGACCTCAAATTCTCAACCGAGCGCTGACAGCTTCTCTGTGTTACAATCAAAACATAGCAATGGCCTCCAACCTAACCTTCACCCTCATAGCGATCAATGATTCATGACTTGATCCCCGTTGCTACCAAATATTGAGGTTCACCCTCAATGTTATTTACGATCTGCTTATCTGAAATGACTTGTAAGACTTGAAGACCTTGACCTATGCATGTCATGTTGTGCAAAGTCTGCTTCACTTTCTCGGAAAGTTATATAGCTAAAATGAGTCTGGAAGCCATGGTTTCAAGAAAGTAGGCGTGACGAGATTGAAGTCATGAAACATGCATGAAGCAAAGGCTAAAAAAGCTTTAGAAATAAACGCAAGCACAGATCAATGCATGATGATCTTTTCTTATCATGTGTTCTTTGGTTTTGTCAAGTGCTTAAAAAACCAACAAAAATCATCAAGCATGAAAGCATCAAGAACAATGCCAATAAAAACTTGAGGACAGTGGGGACGAAAGCGAGGGGTGTGGAAGGATCAAGGGGCTTTTGTGCCACGAGCGCAAAGTGTTGTTGGCTGAGTCAACCGAACACTAAGAAAAAGCCTCGACTTTCATATTGTCTTTTGTAGGCATGTGGTATGCTTTCGCACCTGCAATTGAAATATAAATTCCTTTGCGAGGGGGGTGGTTATTGAAAGAAGCAATAAAAAGGAACGAGGGGGGGGCCCCCTCGGCTGACCCCTCCCTTTAATTGAAAGAATCAATTAGTTCACTGAACCTTTCAATTTTGAGCCTCACTATATTTCGTAAACAACAACTTCCGCTGAGCTCCTTCTGAGCTCGCTTTCGTGAACATGAAACAAACACACATGATGCCGTGACGCTATTGTATCCATTTTGGTTCTTTTCAAACGGTCTGCCATTTTGGACTCCCCCCAGGGCATGCTCACAAATTGTTTCTAGCCAGGGGTCCAATTTTGGCACTATCATCGCGTCGGTGGACTCCGCTGAAGGTCATAGTCTTACAAGTGTCTAAAACAAAGCATGGTTCTTAGTAATGTTCTCATCTGATCAAGTTGATGCGGAAAGTTTGCTGCCTCTCAGGAGATTTGTTCTTTTACTTTTTGTTGCAGTTTCATGTGTTTGAAAAAGCCTTGACATGATGTGCCAGAATTGCTATCCAAACTGCAACATGTTTGTGAAGGGCCAAGAACGAAGTTCAGCAAAAAACACACGCGCAGTTTGGACCTTAGACTTGATCGACCGTTTGTTGAATTTGTTGGTGCAGTGATTGTAAACTTAGTTGCCATGTTCTGATCATTTTTGGTACTAGATTTGGCTGTCGAATGTGAACACAATTTAGCATTGTTGCGATGCTGAAAGTCATTGTATTACACTCTTTTTTCTCTAATGCAGAAGTGGCAATTTAGAGTGATCGTTGATATATATATATGATATGTATAGTATATACAGTATGTAAGTTGACAGAACGTTGAACAATCCAAGACTAACTCAGGCGACCTGTTCTAAGTAGACTTCCTCCCTCGCACATGCGCAAGCTGCGCCTTTCCTTGGAGTCAGGTCAATGGGAAAAAGTTGGATTTGAACGGGAAGTTTGCAGGATATTGTTGGGTTTTTGCAGGATTGTGTGGGAGATGTGCAGGATTGTGTGGGAAATGACTTCATGAGATAACATGACATAACATGTGTTTTCTCAGTCGATCTGTTTGCCTACTACTTGTTGTGCTTTGAAGACTGCAAAATGTAGTACTAAAATCCATACTAAAAAGCCTTGATTCGATTGATTTCCGGCAGCATCAAGGGGGTACCCCATGAAGCCTGTTCTGTGACTTTCTGGAACCCTTTCAAAAATATCCGGTATGTTGTTTACTGTTTTCTCTAGTAAAATGACTTCATTCGGTCTGTTTGCCTGCTGCTTTTTGTGTTTTGAAGGCTGCATAAAATGCATTGCGAAAAGTCTTAGGGGACCCCACGAAGCCTTTTTTGCTTCTAGGCAGGACGCAGGATAGCTCACGCTTCCTTGAAGAATCGCTCGCGCCATCAAATCAACCAAAGATATTACGATGCTACCAAAGATATTACCATGGTAAAGATATCTAGTACGGAATGCGGATGAGAGGTCAAAAACATGGATTTGTGTTCGGGCTCTCGCGTGGAGTGCAACCATTTGTTTTACAGAAACTTTGTTTTGCGTACCAAATGTGAGACAGAAAACATATAAATACTCAAACCAGAGCCATCCAGGGTAGATAGATCACTTTACTTCAAGTATTGTAAATGAAAACAAATGAAGAGTTTACAAGACCTTTGACCCTTTACAGCACGAATACTTTTTCAAGGCAAATGCTCACCTTCAGAGATTTCTTAAACACGACATGCTAAAATGGTGCAACAGAAGCAAGCACATGAGCAATGTACAGTATGTTTTTATGGTTTTACTGCTTCAGAGATTTTGCTGTACAGGGTACTCAATTGGTTCTTCTGACCGTTTCTCCCCGGGCAATTTGTTGTAAGAACCGTTGATGGTTTTTCATCGCACTACTTATATTTTACCGTTTCGATTTTTGGTCACAATATGCTTGAAGTAAAATGATCAAGAAACAATACGATGGCTGAGTGTCAATGAAAAAGGTTGAACAAATGAGATGTATATACTGTAGTAAAAGGGAACGTGTTTAAAATGCCTTCACAAGAGGGTACACCCTCATGAGCGCGACATTGCTTTAGGAAACATGTATACTTTTTATAAGGTCTCGATTGTAAAAAACCTTTACAGCCAAATGGGTGCCTTTTTCATTGTCTTTTTAGATTACCTTGACGAGAATGGACTTGCTTTGACATTTTCCAGTTTGGTTTGTGAAAGTCCTTTTTCAATATGGACAAGTGGAAACAACTAATGGCGTGTCTTAGGTAAATGTCAAGACTATACTATATGTATCTTTGCATAGTAGGCGGCAAGGGGATAACGGATAGGTAGGAGGCATAGGGGCCTAGATGGAACGGGGGAATAGGAGACCCCACGCCTTAACTGGATGCTGGTTATGCAGGATCCCAGCCCTGCATAACTCGCATCTTTGTGACCGCAAAAATCCACAAAACTACTAGAACGTAAGTGTTCTTACGTCCTAGTATATTTTTGGGCAAAGTTGTCCTCCAGAAGGATGCCCCAGGCCATTCTCGTAGAATCGAATGACAAAACTTACAAGTTCAATCGGATTTTTAGGTACCCTTCTCGTTGCACAGCAATTTTGCACTGAACCTCACCGTGGCGCTCATCTATCGATGGAGACGATTTGTAAGTCATCAAGAATGTAAAGAGCAAATTACTATAAAGACGTCATGAAACACAAAACACAGATAGCAAGGAAACTTCAAGGCAGGAACATGTTTTCCTGACATATGGTTCTTGGATGTCCTGTTTATTTTGTATAAATGTTGTTTGCACCAGGAACCCCCTACGTACAGGTTCAGGAACCAAAATCTATTAAGTCCCAGAAAGGCATCAACAAACGGTTGGACAAAAACGAAACAGAACCCAACATGACGGCAACTTGATTTCAATTTATCTTGAGTTTTTGACATGGCTTTTGGCCTCGGGACTCCTGTCAAAGAACAATCAAAGAGGGCGAGAAGATCTCAGCCACAAAGTACACATATCAGAAAGACGCAATTCTGCGAGCAAAACTGTGTCATATCAGAAAGTGTTTTCCAAAGCCACACGTGAAACGTCACTAGCCCAGCAGCACACCAAAAGAGTACGAGACCACAGAGGTGTGTGGATACATATCTTACACAAAAAATACAATTACAGTACAAGAAAATACATATGTGTTTATCATCCCGGGTCAGCACACCCCATTTTATATTGAAATTGGTCAACTAAAAGTTCTCTTGGCATGCACGGTTTGGAAAAGTGCCTAGCAGAGACTGCTCTGAAACAAGGGTGTCAAGACACCAGCCCGGAAGTTGGCCAGGATGAGCTTTAAGTGCAGCCACTTGCAAACTTGCTTCAATGATTTGGGTCCGCTACCCCAACCCAGGGTGAACAAAGTTGAAGCTTGGTTCCATGATGTGCAATGTAGCCACACCGAACAACAAAGGGACCTTAAAGAAACAATTACCTGAAAACTGCAATGCACAGACCTCTCAAAACTCAAAAGTTGTATCGCAAACAGCCCCTCAACGAGACCATCACCCATCACCCACTACTTGAGACGCCCATCCGTCAAGAAGTCTTGATACAGTCATTTTATTTAAAGTGCGCATCATGGCACCAAGCCCCTGCTTTCGAGGCAGTGGTCCCAAATCGTTTCAAAGTCTGCACCAGCGCCCCCACACCCTTGTTTCAGAACAGTCGGACATAGCTTTCGAACAGCAATGAACTTTCTGACAGAAACATAGGGATAACAATTGCAAACAGAAGAAGCCAATAAACTTACACATAGATTTGTCTTTTGGGGAGATGTGTTTCTCTGTTTGAAGAATTTATTGATCAGTTTTAGGATGGTTGGGGAGTAGCCAGGCTATGATCGAGTGTGGCTTATCATCAACAGGTAGGGATTGGACCAAAGTGTCCCCTGTCCTGCCCACACAAAAAAAGAAACAGTCAAATAAAACGGCCAAGAGAACTTTCCCAAACCCACCATTTTAATGTTTCTTGCATTGGTTTGGTGGTCTTTTGCTTTTTTGGTGTGCTGCTGGGTTAGTGTTTTACGTGTCGCGTTGAAAAAAAACTTTCTGATATGACACAGTTTTGCTCTCATAATTGCGGTTTTTCTGATATGTGTGTTTCTTGGCTGAGATCTTCTCGCCCTCTTTGATTGTTTCTGAGCAGGGGTCCTGAGGCCATAAACCGGTGTAACAAATCTGGAACATGCCCCCACAAGCCATGTCAAAAACTGAGAATAAATTGAATTAAAGAATTGCAATCGTGTTGAGTTCTGCTATGGTTTTGTCCAGACATTTGTTGATACCTTTCTGGGACTTAATATAATAGATGTTTTCCTGATGCAAACAAAATTTATACAAGAAAAGCAGGACATCCGAGATCCAAGAAATATGTTTGAGGAAAAAGACCGTGCTGCCATGAAGTGTCCTTGCTATCGTTGTTATGCGTTTTCATGACATCTAATAATTTGCTCTTTACATTATTGATTATTTTCATGTTATTCTTATAACATCAACGAAACAGCTGTTTCATCATCATATCACAACTCAGCTCACTGACGTTAAATAAAATGGGTTCAGGTTCAAGCCTCAAACCACCTATACCGCAAAAGTGTTTTACCAAACAGGCGAATTTGACTGTGCAAAGGGTTCATCAGTGAAAACCATTTTAGTTAATACTCATTTTAGTTAACCCTTAAACTAAATGAGTACAATAAAATTGGTTTTCCGTGGTCGACCACGTCATTTTAGATTTGTCGGTAGCAACGGGATATGACTTGCCATGGGGGACCGCCACATCTCAAGAGTGGAATTCTCTAAGCTCCAAGCCCACTAGCTGTGCCTCTGCCAGGGCCTCCTGCAGCTTCTTGACATCGCGGGCAAGCACCGCCTCAAGGATTCGTTAGAGCTTATGCGAATAGCTGACATACCCAAAGGTCGGGCATACCCTCAAGCTGGGCCTGTGCCAATCCGGAACGAGCTTGAGGCCAAAGTTCCCGCTGCATTGTCACCACTGCTTCCTAGCCACTCAAAACGCTCCAATTTCTCAATCTTGATGATGACTTTCGTGCCTCAAGGATGGCCAAATCATCTGGGTGCTCCAAGCCAAAGTCCTTTGCCTGTTGAATCGCCGCTCTGAGTCCTTGTAGTACAGATTGCATCAGGAGGTGTATGTTGCGCTCAACAGCCGTCAATTGCCATGGCAGCTTTCGTGTTTGCACGCGCTAACTGATTCTCCGAGTTGCGAATGACTTCACGAACGCTGATCGCCTCATTGAGGACCTCCATGACCTTTGCACGCCTCTCCTCCGTCAACTCAAAAAGGACACAAATGCGCTTCATGCGCCAGGGCACATGTTGGAAACAGGCGCTACAATAGAAAGCCGGTGCATGACACCCGTATGTATTGGAAAGCCGGTCACGTGCAAAATGGTCATCTAATCTGATGGGTGGCGAGCTCTGCTGCGAAGTGCAAGGTACTGCTGTCATGTTTGACGGCTTGTACCTACAACCAACATGCGTTGCAATGCCACGCACCTATGATGTAATGCCGTGAATGAGGCATGGTAAAGTGCAAGGTTGTGGAGGCGCTAAAGTGATTCGTGATGCGCTAAAGTGTGGTCAGTTTGTGATGGTGCAAAGAGTGGCCATCTGTACCGCGGCGCCGTGTTGGTCAACGGGGTTCTGAGCACGCTGTCGGGAGCGGCTCGTTGGGCGGCGTCGTGGCCATCTGCAAGGGAGGCACGACGCATTGTCTCACGTAAAACCTAGAGATCCCGGCCTCATGGGTGAGGTGAGGAACATTACTTGACTTCAAGCTGTCCCAAACGCTCCAATGTTTGGATGTGAGACAGGCTGGCACTTGTGCCGGCCTGACATAACACTGATGGGACCACGGGTCAGCGACAGACCCGACACTGGCAGGACGTTGGTGGGATCAATGGGTCGGCCCAACATGAGGCTACAGACGAGACACTGGGTGATTCTCTGCAGCAGGGATCAAGTTTGTCACAGCAACTCCCGAAGTCATCCTAGCTACCTCAATCCTACTTAGGTGCAAAAGGACTCAGGAACCTGACAAGAAAATCAATCAAGGGAATACACAAAGAGGTTACTAAAGTTTATGTCCTCTTTCAGATAAATATGTGTTTGGATGTTGAGATCAGAAACATCCTAGAGTCTGCGTTGTCTACATCTGCGCCTAGCTCCCATCGAGGAGCGAACCGTGAACTACCGAGACACATTGGCTGATCACCAAAACACTGCTTCCATTGGCGGGTTGATTGGTACTGGGGGGAGGTAAGGAAGGCAAGTTGTTGGGCACCATTGGGAGTTTGGGCTCAGGCACATTAAGCTATTTGGGTCACAAGCTGAAAGGCTCTCCAAATTCAATCCCATGTCCTCGTATTCCTTAGCTGCTATTTACAGAGCAGCAAGTGCAAGCATACAGTAAGACATGAAGCTGCCAAATACAATGCCTGCGAGACTTTGAGGGTATTTCAGTTCCTCTGTGCTTAAGACTCTTGACACTTGACACTCATGTTCAAATAATCCTGAGGAGTCCCGGCAAGTGCTCTTTTTGCCTCCTCCAAAATATTCTGCTCCAACTGCAGCAGTTCGCCTGTAGCAGTTTGCAACAAATTCAAAGCGAAGCGGATCTTCTTCTGGCCGTTTGCATATGGTGTTGCTCAGCGGCAAGTTGATGGTCCCAAAGCCCCTGGTGCACCGGGTCAAGCCCTGCCTTGCACCAAGGCGGCGAGCAAGGCTTCAGGGTCCCGCGCCTTGATTGCCCTGCCAGAGAACTCACCATGCACCAGGGAACAGGTGCACCATGCAAACGGGTGTTTAATCCCAACCTTGTGATTTCTTCTTTTGCAGCTTCCTGGTCCTGACATGCCGCACAATGTTTTGCGTGGTTATGGCAAATCTATATATACAAAATAGTAATAAGAATAGTAAAACAATAACTATAACAATAACAATAATATACCGTGTTTTGTTTTTGCAACTTCAATCTTGACAGGCGTTTCTCCAAGAAAAGAAGGATCTTTAGGCGACCAGGGGTTGTTGTCTAGGTTCCACTCGGTGTTTTCCGCCGACCCGGGCTAGGACCGGGGAGGCGTCAGAGACCCAGTGTTCGCGGGAATGTGGAATTTTCCCATTCCTAAATATAGTCAATATTGTCGACTCCAGAAGTGACGCTAAAGTTTTAAAGGCCCCATTGGCCTTGCACTAGGAAATCGATGTTGTTGGTTGTTTTTTCGAACAGAATTAGTTGTGGTCCCTGTTCGAGGGTTTTCAAAGAGAGCGGTACGCTATGCGGGTGTGTGTGTGTGTGTATTTTCCATTGAACAGTTGAACAACACTGCATCACATAGTTTCATTGAAATACCATGAACATTACATGGTCCCATCAGTGCAATGCTAGCGCTCATGGCTGCAATGAAGTTCATACAAAAATGGGAGCAAATGGAGCGTCCCTCATCGTCCTTGGTGCGTTCACCGGATCTTAGAGGAGGTCGCCGAAGCAAAAAAATCCATGACATATCATATATCATGTTTTTGGCGCCCCCCCCCACCCACACACACACACACTTTGGATATTTCGTACGGAACTGAATGCCACTTGCCACACGCCCACCTAGGTATGAACGCCTAGGGCCTAAGAGCTCCAGGAAAAGGTGTAAGTCCTAAAGACCCAACTTCTCAACACCTTCTCAAAAAGCATCTCCAAGTTCCGAAAGCGCGAGCGAATCGAGCGAGCGACGAGTGCACCTCTGCAGACTTGTATCATCCTGCAACAGCCTGGAACCTCTACGAGTGGAAGATGGTTTTAACGCCCACAACCATAACAGGTACACGGAAGTGATCAGCCTCCGCTTCCTAGGACATTGCAAAGAGCTTCGTTGAGCAGAGCCTTGCAAGTCCTCTCTGCCCCCTGCTTATCAAGTAAAAACACAAATCCAGAAGGATCCCTGTGACTCCAAGGGGTACACACACACGCCTCCCACAAGGGGAGGCGAAGAAAGCTAAGGCCAGGACCAGCAAGGACAAAAAGATGAAGACATGAAAAGGGGACAAGACAGGACAAAAGTGTACGTGGCTGCGATGAAGAGGAACCAAGTGCACAGGGACAAACGATGAAAACCTGAAACCTGGGTTTGAAGAAAATGTAAATGCGTGCGTACAAACTAAGGGCTGGACCAATGTGCAAGCAAAAGAAAGAAGGACTGAGATGCCAAGACATGAAGCAGGAAGGCATGAAAGAATAGAGGAAAGAGGAAGTGTGTGGAACCAATGAAGCCAAACCATTTGAGTGTGTTCACCTAAGGCGGGGGCAGGTTCCAATGAACCTAATGAAAACTTTGGTCGCTGTGACCACGTGGCGGCATTAGGCCAGCTTGGACCGCTGCGGTCACCTCACGGCGCGTCCGTGGACTGCCTGCTTAGCTTAATATATTTCAGCAAGTCTTGGCATAGCTATGGTTCAAGCCTACTCCGCCCGCTATGGGCACGTGTGTTCTCGTTATGCTCACCCTGGGCTCTCACTCAGGAGAGACACACTGTCACTTGCCACACGCCCACCTAGATATGAAAGCCTAAGAGTTCCAGGGAAAGGCGTAAGTCCTAAAGACCCAACTTCTCAACACCTTCTTCAAAAGCATCTCCAAGTTCCGAAAGCGCGAGCGAATCGAGCGAGCGACGAGTGCACCTCTGCAGACTTGTATCATCCTGCAACAGCCTGGAACCTCTACGAGTGGAAGATGGTTTTAACGCTCACAACCATAACAGGTACACGGAAGTGATCAGCCTCCGCTTCCTAGGACATCGCAAAGAGCTTCGTTGAGCAGAGCCTTGCAAGTCCTCTCTGCCCCCTGCTTATCAAGTAAAAACGCAAATCCGAAAGGATCCCTGTGATCGACTCCACGGGGTACACACACACACATCAGGGTCAAGGCCAATGCAAGTCAGGACTATCCGTACAAATCCATGAGCCACGAACTTGCCATCACAGTTTTCGTAGGCGTGGAAAACACACACTAATTGAAACGCGTACTGACTTGGTTGCGGTTTGCCACACGCCAACCTGGGTACCCAAATCCTGAACAGTTCATCAAACGGAAGTGAGGCCAAAAGCGCAAAACGATATCAAGGCGACAAATGACGACGTAGCCGCGCAAGTCTGCAGAATCAAAACGGAAATGCGGCCACGAGCTGCGTCTTGCTCACGCAGGCTCCAAGAGCCCCCGGCCCCTGCTGTTTACAAAAGTGTAACACTCCAAATGGACCCCTGTGACTCCAAGGGCTACACTTAGATTGTTGCTCGCAAGAGCTAGCATCGGTATGAAGTTCCCCTTGACTGGAAGAAAAGTGCAAACCGAAAGGTGAGGAAGTCCGGAAAATTGAAGATGTTTAACAAATTGTGCGTTAGCCGCTTACTGCAAAACGGTGCAAAGGCGGGACATCTTGTTCTAGTTACAAGCAGGGCCCAGGAGGAATTGACTCAGGTAAAACTGCAGGTACGTCCAGAAGGCGTCCCTTCCGGATATCAGCCACATTGCAGCCCTCTTCGTTGGGCAATCAACTGCAATGTGGGATTGCCCCCCTGCTGCATGGACATAAAACCGAGTGAAGAATCTCGAAGTTGTCTAGCTGAAAGTATCGTGGGAAGGGTGTGAAATCCTTGGAAACAGGCGTTGACACACACTTATAGATATGCGTACTGAACTGATAGCGGTGCCACACGCCGGCCTAGGGTTCCATTTCCTAAGAGTACCAGAAGCCATCGAATCCTGGAGGTCTTAAAAGGAAAGGAGGCCCAAAGCACAAGGTCGAGGTCGGCGATCAGGTCGAAGTGACGGCGTTCCGTGCGTGACTGCCGCAAACTTTAAAAATTGTTGCAGGTACGTTCCCGAGGCGTCCCTCAGGAATATCACAACACGATGGAAGGGTCTTCGTTGGGCAATGCCTTCCAAAGTGTTCATTGCCCCCCTGCTAAGCGCAAAAACAATTCAAACGAATCCCTGTGACTACAAGGGGCACGCACACACGCCTCCCCGAGGGGAGGCATGTTTTAAGCTCCGCGCCAAAGGTTCTAGGCGAACTGACGAAGTTCACGGTAAGTTTGATAGGCTGTCAGAGGTAGTCGGAGTTGGCAAATAGCATCGAAGGTTCCTGGCATCGCGACTCGAACGGAGCGAGAAAGGACGCGA